GGATGGCTGTTGCCTTTGCATTATAACAAAGGTAGTAAATTTTATACTCTGATTTGCTTTACAATAGTATGTCAACTGAGTTCAGGTTTGATGATATTTCTAGGAACGGCACTCCGTTCTGTTATGTTCTTTATTTTCGTAATTTGAGACTGTTGGCAAATAACGTCTAAGATTTATTCACTTTGGGGGCGGCAACTTTGCTTGACCACAGCAGGTAACTGATCTAGATCTATTTATAACTTAGCGTCATGTGAACCTAAATAACGACGTACGTTAATAACTAACTATACCTAAATAACTATTTAACTTTATAGTTGTTTTAAGATCGATAAAGATGTTTCCAAGATACTTCTTCATCTCATAAGGACTAAAAATTTCACCATATATTTAGTACTCAACTCAGCCATAGGAAGACACAAACAGCTATTGCCACCATTTGGCTAAGGGTTTATACTTAAGTTGCTTTTGATGTAATAATAAACGGCTGACCTAACAATAAATCCTCTAGACATAGAGAATGATTGTGTAGAAACTAATTAAGGAATTGTTTATTCTTGCATGTTTACAGTAGTCATTAATAGAAACTCGTATCCTTATATCATGAGCTAGTATTATTAGTCTAAGTATTCAAATGACAAATGTTATTTATAGGTTTTTGTTATGTCTACTCTTTCTTTAAAGAAAATTACAAGTCGATTGCGGAAGTTGCCTTCTAATGATACATTGACTTTAGATTTTATTAAGTTCAAAATTAAAGTGCGTACATGTAGTTTACAGCCACAGCATAACTGTAAACTGTTACTGAATAACTATAAAAAATAAATTATATTAAATGTATAAAAATCCAGTTTTTTGTGTCTTTTTCATAAACTGGGTAAAATCGCTTACTTACTTACTGAAACTGTCATTTTACTGAATTTCGTCCTTAAGTTTGTCAAACTTACGGGCAAAGGAAAATAGACTGCAGAGATGTAATTCTTTAGGAGTATAAAATTCCAATCCTTACTATTAGAGATCGGTAGTTGGTCGAATTTCAAACATAATAAATTCATTACGTAAATTTTGATTTGGTCTGTTTCTTGTGCTTGTCAACATATTATACTGGACGCGTGTAGCTTGATGTACCCGTTTTCTTATAACTTTGTAATTTTCAACACGGCATTAAAAAAATTGTTTATTGTTGTTGTGTCTATTTATCTTTCCTTGTTTCGTGAATTTTAAAAAAATACATATAGAATTCTCTTCACGTATTATAATATCGATGAAGATATATAGAATTTCGGACGAATAAATATTGTAAATATTACGATATTAGAGTACTCAACACTTTTCTGCGACTACCTACTTTTCCTCATCAATCACAACATAAATGACTATTTTATGCTGATAACTTGCAATATGAATACGAAATAACAGAAAATGATCGAATACGACTAATATAATTTGAATATTGTTGAGTAACAAGTATAGTAATTCAATATCTACGTAAATCTCTATTTTTAATTTTTTGCCTGTCGCGCGACAATAGCGGTCGATGACTTATTTGAGTAGTGTCACTCACTTGTATCTATTTGTCCCTAAAATAAACAGGACTACAAAGACGACATATTATGTTGAATCTTGATTCGTCGTACATACACTGATGCCGTTTATGGTAACTCCTGCATTATGCATTTGCGGTGCAGACCAGTAAAAGCACACATTTATTTATTACCAGCCATCGTCGCATACATATTCTTGTCGTGTCCCGATGTGTGAATTGTTTTACTCCGTGCTTTGAAGACTGTTACCTTCTTACTAAGGTTAATGCCGCCATCGAACTCATTATGCACTTCTAATTGTTGGTAAAACAGAACATACTTCAGTAATATCAGGTTTCACAGAGAGTTGCTGTCCTCTATGTTATGTAGTAATATTAGTATTATGCGCTTTATGGATTCCGTGACCACATCGATTCACGTCATTAAAAATACTTGTTAACGTTTTATTTTGATGTTATTAAAACAATTAAAATGTGCTTTTATGTCACGTAACGCGTAATTATACGTTATGCAGCCTCTACGATTTTGCTAGGGAGAAAACTTTGTTAATGATGGTCAATGTATTAAACTCAAAACCCAAGTCCTATGTTTAAATTGCTTTTTGTGTTTTTTAATTATTTAAAGCGGTTAAAAAAACAACCATGAAATCTTAAATAACAAGATTTTTAATTTAACATGTCATTGTTGTGGACTGTCACTAGTTTTTGCCGCCGGCTCTACCCGCGTTTATAGTAAGTAGTAAGGTATTCTATAGCACTCAGGGATAATATATGTCTAACAGTGAAAGAATTTTCAAAATCTGATCAGTAAGTAGTACCGGAGATTACCCCGAAAATACAAACTCACAAACTTTGCCTCCTAATAATATTGGTATAGTTTAGACGTAAATTGAACTGGAGAAATATTGAAGTATAGATTTATTAAGCAATGTGATTTATAAAGCACATTGCTAAGTATTTTCTAATGTTATCAATGCTAATGGAGTGTCAAAGAGTGATCGTGAGTAACTCAGTCATGATTACTGTCATCAATGGTATGAAAGTTATTTTTCGCCTTACTTCAATCGTGACATTGATGACTCGTTAGTGCCCCTGTACTTGTAGTTTAAGGAGATATTTACTTTATGGTATACCCAAATTGTTCTGAATTAGAAAACTATCTCTATAGTCTGTTTTAAAAGGCTTGCCAATAACATAATAGAATTTAAGGACTGAAGCAAAGGAAGGAGTGTAGTCTCTGCTGGGCTCTTTACATGTAAAAAATCCATTTAAATCATTTAATCGGAATTTTATTGTACCCACAGTCTCGTGAGAGAACTTAAACATATTTTTAAACTTTTGCATATTCTTATTACTACATGGCAAATCACAATACAATTATTAGTTAGTTAAATAAAAAAACAGTTAAATTCAGCGGAAGTAAATTGATTTTATTCTAGAAATCATTTTGATCTTCAGCACTTAATAATCCGGCATCAATCACCAGCTTAATGAACAACTAGCAATTATCATTGAATTTCGATAGTAGTAGATCACCAATGACACTAATGCTTGCTTATAATAATATTGTGTTTGAAATATTAGACCTACAAAGTGCTTTAGTGCTCTAGCGCTTGTACTTCTAGATGGGATTGACTAAATAGAAAACTAGTTGTGATAGAATTGAAAATTGAAATCCCACAAATAGATCATGACTGTTTTTAGACTTCCGTAACATCAGCAGAGTTTACTCGACTATAACAAAACCGAAATTATAAAGAAACTGCTTGCACGATCTGTGGATATTGCACTAAGTATAGAGCAATGGGTGGTTAGTGATTTACTAGGAAATTGATGAGAGAACTACGTTCGTGCTAGGGTCATTTACGCGCCAACGACGCTGTGGAACCGAATCACACGACTAAATAAGTTTCGTCGGATAATTGTTCACATTACATACAATCGCAGCAACCGCAATCCGCATGATAGGTACGGTAACGGACATGTTTTTGCGTCTACTTGTTTGGATCCGTAACAATGCTTTCATAAATAAAAAACTGGTTAGGTATACTAAATTTGGCGGCAGTGAAATTGGGTCACTAATTCACAGTAACTGCAAGAATAACACAGTGTATCCGTTACCAATGAAAAAAAGTAATTACTCGTTTCTTAACGAAACGAATAGATGAAATGCAATTATTAAAAGAAACCGAACGAACGTCTTCGCATACAATCACAACGTATGTCATTTGTTGTTATCAAATAAAACTAATACGTACACGGTGATACACAGTGCGAGATGGCATCACAAACAGTTTTTTCTCATGAATTATGTAGGATCTTAGGTACATACATAAATAGTTAGGTACCGACCCTCTTTCCGTTCTGTATAATTTCATGTTTCCGGGGCTTGAATAAGTTATACAACGATTCAGAACCGTTTCATAAAATTTTAATTTCGGTCGATAAAGTGTAAAGCACCCACATGTTGATTTTGAAAGGCTCTTCATACTTTTCGCTTATTCAAAGATATACCTAATTATCGTTGTTAGAAATATATCGAGGATGATGTATTACAGTTTGACGTAGGTGGAGCGGACATCCTTATAGAAGCGAAGACAATATTACAACTAAGAATGTCATAGCAATTTGCAACAATGACATAATACACAACACAAACGAAGTGGAACGAATCGTAATCCGCTCCTAAAACACATTCAAATCTTGACGCATTAGTGCATACGTGCTCAAAGCAAACATGTAAGAACTTATGTTCCTACTGACCAAGGTCAACATGTAGGCCTACCCAAGAACGTTGCCCTGATGGAATAAGTAAAAATATCCAGCGTGAAATTTAAAAATAACAAAAAACCACGAAATACTTAGCAAGAGGCTGGAATCTGAGGAATATTCTTGGAAGATCTAGCTACTCTCGACTTGATTAATGCCTTGTACTCGTAATATATATGTGTACATGTATACGCATTGTTAAGACCATTGTAAATCATCGCAAGGGGTACCTTCCCTTGGTATGCAAACGAGGTTTAAATTCGCAGGGTAATATTTATGGTTGTAAAGGCAATCTGCCGAAGGATCGTAAGATTTTATTAGTTGTTATTACTCAGTAGGTTTTTTTAAATTCTAATAAACAATATGGACTCCAAGCAGCAGTACCACAGGCCTATTTTAAAAGCTAATTTTGTATTGTTTCGCAAAAAGTATAATCACCGTATTGACTGAACCCTCAACATAGTCTATGGGGCATTATTGGACAATAAAGGTCACAGTTTACAAAAAAATATACAGTGTAATATGAGAAATATTTACAGAAAAATACGAAAAGAAATAGTGATCATTAACGTTCCAAACATCTAAAATGACTATATATAGCTCTGCCGAGTAAAAGGCCAGATTTATCAGGATATAGTTCGATTTATGAAAAAGAACAGGATGTTAGCGTGAGTATGTTTTGTTTTCTCAGATTGTCCAAGCAGACAACAGTGCGTCATATCTCGGTGCACGTTGTCGCTCCAGCAGCGAATGTGGTGTCAGCCATTCCCAATGCGAGAGAGGCGTGTGTGTGTGCCAACCTTACTACGCTCGTGTTGACAACTCCACTTGTCTCGAATGTAAGTAATACTTTCCTTTTCCTTAGTCAATTTCTTTGAAACATTTTTGTTTTAAGCACCGGAGGTCCTTTTTACCCTCGACTTGATAGCTCAGTTCGCAATTGCAGCACTTTGGCTCGCGGTTTTCCACTCCAGTTTTTGTCATTCGCAATACCTAATCATTCTCGTGTGGTAAAATTTGTGGCGAGACCAACAAATTACTTTCTCTTCGGTAATCAATAGAGCTATCAACTAATGTCGGCAGTTTTCATCATTTCTATGATGACATTATCAATATATATTGAAATGTAATTTCGCTTTCGATTTACAAATTGTGAATGTTGTATTGATCAATCAAAACATTTATTGATGTTTATGACGACTGTGTTGGCAAAGTAGGTTGTTTATTGTATTGTGTTCATTATAAAGAGAAGTTACTGTGTGAAATATACTCAAACAAATAAACCTACCATTCACCCTTGCTTTCACTAAATTTTGCGTAAATAGTATCATTCAGAGATCTCATAATAGCAGTTCAGTGGAAGCAAATAATGTATTTTCTCTTTAATGACTGACTTTAAAGAAAAAATAGTTATTTAGCCTAAACACCATTTGATTACTTTTGTCCAAAGATTTTCTTTTAAAAAATGGCAATAAGAAATCTACTTTGTCTAGACTTTATGTGACTAAAATCATTGGCTTTTTATTCGCCAGAAGATAAAGACAAAAGAACCTCCAGAACGAATTGCAAGCGGCCTGTACTCAATGCGAATGGTACCGAACGACATCACAGATCTTTTATATCGATAGTCGTGTAATCCCACGCTTATCTCACTTTCGTTGCCATAAAAGTTTGTATCCGTATACGAACAACTGGATCATGGGTGTATTTCAACGGTTCATTCGCTGATTACGTTGTTTTGTTTTGTATAAGGATTTTATGAGTGAAACTTTTTAAATGGATTCTTTATTTTCACTCTAAATGATGTAGCGGGTTTTAATTACAGATCTGGTTGTACATGACCTTTATTTAGATAAATGTTATAAAGAGGGCTGATGGACAACTTACAGATACGATGACTACTTATGGACATACATACGGACTAACTGACATACTTACAGAGCAAGTCCAGTCAGGCGGCATTTCCAACCAGGATTTAAACCAGGAAACCTACTTGCCAGCAGCCTATTTGTATACATTATAATCAATAATCATACTTTCCTGACATACATGCATATTTGAATATTGCATTAAGTACTGATTTATACTTTTAGAACCTACTTATTTTCTATTGCAGAGAAGGTACAGTTAGCATCTGAATCAGAAGTTACATTGTCACGAAAATACGTACTTTCCTTGTTTCGTAGCAAGATCATCATCTTGCTACGAAACAAGGAAAGTACAAAGTAAATAAATACAAAAAACTAGTTATCTGTAGAAAATTTAATATAATGAACAATTCTCATTGTGAACATAAAAAATGGCAATCTTTAAATTCTGATTTCAGAATCGTATAACTGACGCCATTAAAGCGTAGTCCTGCAGGTTCCCTTTAAATTTTTGCTACTGCTCTTATTATCATGTGCAAAACAATACTTAACTATCCCTTACAACGTCACTAGTTCCCCAAAAAGACGCGTTGGAAGACACTGAGAGCCATATTTCATTCAGTCAAGCAATATATGGGTATATATGTAGGTTATATAAGTATATATTATTTACATAAAAGTAAGTATATATACAAGCGACTGCTAAGACGGAGGTGGTGGGTTCGATTCCTGCCCAGGACAAATATTGTGTGATGAGCTTACCTTTTTTTTGCTCAGCCTATGAAAAAAGAACTACGAAACTCATACAAGATTTGGGAACGTCAACATAACCATTTCAATTTCCATAAAACAAGGTGGTCATTACATGTAGATAATCGATGTAAGAGGGAGGGTTGGCGTGCCAGTGTAGACGGAGCTGTCAACTTGTCATCTCATCTTCCCCGTGGTCAGTATGCCAAGCGTGAGCAATCATCTGATATACCACAGAGAATAACATAAATACTTACCGTTCGATTGAGTACGTAAGCAGGTATAAATAATATTATAGACTATATGAGAAGCTTTCTCCGCGTTGTTAAAAATAATTGTATGTGATCGTAAATTTAAATATGTCCAATTAAAATACTCTCTACCGTGTGGTGACGGATTAAGAATACAGAGTGTCACCACCCCTATTCATCCCGTGGGTGTCGTAAGAGCCGACTAAGGGAAAAAACTAAGCAGGACAACAGCACTGCAGAGAGAAGGAAAACTTGACACAAACCCTTTACCAACCCGTCTGGCCAGCGTGGTATAGTAGGCCAAAACCTCCTTTCTCAGGAGAGGCTTATGTCCAGCAGTGGACTGTTAAAGGCTGTTGATGATGATGAAAATACTCTCTAATAAATTGAACAGGAGTAATTAATTACTCTTAGTGCAGGCGTTGTCCAATGGAACGATATTTCGAATAAAACATATTAGCACTGCCTAATATATTTTTTTACACATAAAAATATTACTACAGCAAGTAATTATTATGTTATTAAAGAACTTGTCCTGTTCAGCTTTGTAACAATTTTTGTTTATTGTACAGTACTATTTATAACAGTGTCGCGGGTAAGAAAAAAATTTTGAATTTATTTCATTTATTTATTTATTTTATTTTAAGCTACGCATTCTCTCCACTAACAATGAAGAGAACATATTGAATCAAGTATTGCCACAGTAACCATTAATTGAGTATATTATGTTTACAAGAACACCGTATGACGATAAACCAAGCAAGTCAACCATTATTAAAAAATCTATTTCCAAACGCCGCCTTATTGCAGCGGGGAAAAATGAATTGCTGTAAAATAGAATTATTAAATAAAAATTATTAATTTTAATTTTATTACATAATGCTAAACATAAGAAAATAATGAGAAAATCGCTTTAAAAACTCCGGAGAAAAACGTATCGGAGTGGTGAAGAATAGAAGAAAAAAAAATTACTCACCTATTTATTTATATGAAAAACCTATTCCTATTTTTCATTATTGATAAAATTACTCTAATATCTGCTAAAAAAAATATAAATGAACCCACCTTGTAAACTGGCCTTTATTAAATAACTTTATACTAACTAACTTATAATAAATAACTTATGACATATGTTGTTTATTTTTCATTGACTGCCTCGGTGGTACAGTGGTAGCGTATGCGACTGCTGTGCTGAGGTCTCGGGTTCGATTCGCAGGTCGGACCAAATGTTTGTATAATCTGCAAATATTTTTCTCGAAGTTTGGGTATTATATCGGGTATAATAAGTATTCTATCAGTCAATCTAGCTTACATAGTACAAGCTTTGCTTAGTTTGAAACTAGATGGCGTTGTGTGTCAGATAGGCTAATAGTTAGGCTAATAAGGATACATATTCCCTAATGAACCACAAAAAAACTAATAATTTGCTGACTCGGAGTTAATAAGAGTTCAGTAAATAATTAAAACAATATAAGCAAACACACAATTCATAACAACAACCAAAAAACGGTATTCATAGCTAGAATCTAAAACCAAACGGTACTATTTTAAATAGTGTAGTAGTATTTTATTTATGAGGCCAAGGTGATGTCCTAAATAATTTACTTCAATTCCTCCTTCTGTTTTAAGTGCAGTATGAGACACGCTGTGGTTTAGTCAGATTCCTAGGGCACCTTAGTATTTTCGTTTTCATCCTTCTAGGCTTTTTGAAGTGTGAAGTGGTCAATTTCGTTTTTTTGTCTTAACGACCTTTGACGGTCCTTTATTGTTACTCATGATTATAACGAGTTTTATTTGTCAGTTATTTTATTTTTAGGTACGTAATTACATAACATTACTAAATGGAAACCAATCAATTCACTTTATACATTGCCGGTTTGCCAGTAGGTTACTCTAAACAATCTCCAGAAGTGAATATTACCCAGGCAAAGTATGGTATGGACAATAATATTCATCATATTTCACGCATTGCTTGAATACCGCAGGTATTATCTTTTGCGTAGGTATCATGCAGATTGCCGGTAACAGTATATTTTTATTTAAGAATATTGGAGGATTAAGGGTTCATCATCATCATCAGCCTATCGCAGTCCACTGCTGGACATAGGCCTCTCCCATTGCACGCCACTTAGATCGATTTTGGGCTTCTCGCATCCAGCTCCTGCCAGCCATCTTGCGCAAATTAAGGGTTACTTCACATAATTTTGGTAGGCAGAAAATACTTTCCCACTGAATTGTTGCAAGTCGTGCCAGTTATTTAAATGACGTGGTAAAAATTCTCTTCTATCCTTATCGTTAATCTTTGCTACTAGTGAATTCTACATTGTAAAGTCAATGTAGAATCCAAACCGTTATTTTTTTAAGTTATATACGGCTTCTTTAGTAAGAATTTATTATGAAGTGCATTACGAATTTAAAGTATCTGTAATGTAATAATGCACAACGTTTCAAAAAATTGGTCGGACATTAGAAATTGGTATTTATTTTCGTATGCTCCTTTTCCAACGAATCATATGGATGTAAAATATAATTTTTAAATGGATTTCATGAATAGCAAGACGTATTCGTACTTCTTTTGGTTACCCACATTAAAAAATGTAATATAGACTAGAAAACAAATTAAAAAATATCTTGGATGTGAAAAAAATATTATAGTGTTACTTACTTTATGAATTTATTTTATAATTTCATTAAGAATTTAATTTGTTTTATAAAAAAAAGAAATAATTGTTTTGATCTGAGATTTTTGACATTAGTATATTTTACCTATTGATATTATGATAGTATATTATGACAGTAGGTTATTTCATAAACTGACTACGCAAATTTAATTTATATAAACCTTAATACCTTTATTTTGTTTTAATATGTTTTGTTGTTTAAACTGAGTTAAATACAAAAATAAAATTGCATGCCTTAAGGTAGAATGTGGCTACTTATTGTTATGTTCTTAACAATGAGCATAACAAT